TATAATTAAGTTAAAAACTATTCAATATTGGACTCATTTCGAAGGTATTAACGAGACGATTATAATGGTGTAACTTGTTAAAATAAAAATGTATTTTTTAAACATGTTTTAATTGATATACGATTATGTATGTTAATTTGATAAAGGATTAAAATGAAACATTTAAAAGTAAATGACGTAAAGTAAATTAATTAACTAATTATAGGGGTATAAAGTATAAGTTTAAAATTGTAATTTTAAAAAAATCCGTTGTGAGAGAGTGAGTGTATGTGAGGAGAAGAAGGGGTGAAAAAGTGAAAAAGTGACTAAAAGGTAGTATAAAGGGTATCTTAGTCGATATTTAAAAAATTAAAAAAATCTAAATTATTCATTAATATACCAATATCAATAAACTAGTAGAACACAATTTATCTCGTTAATATTTAAAATATATATTTAAAAAAAATAAGAATTATTCATTTTTTACCAAAAGTATTATTTTTTAAAGAATATAATATATTTGTTCGAAAACTTTTACTTGAAGTATAAATGTATTAAATTAATTAGATTTTTTTGAATTATTTATTAATATAACAATATTAAAAATGGTAGATCATAATTTATTTCGTTAACATTTTAAAGAGAACTTTAAAATATATGTATTTATTTGAACAACATAAAATAAGAAGTATTACTTTTTTTACAAATAAAATATATCTCGAAAATAATGTTTCATATTTATTTAAGAAATATTTTACTCTAGAATATTTAATTTCCATGCAACTTAATAAGAAAAAGTCAAAAAAAAATTAATTGTTTTAGATCATAACAATAAAAAATGAAAATCACTAATAATAATTTGAAATATGTTTTTATTTTTATTTTAGTTAAGTCATCAAAATGATGTGTCATCCACGTCACCTCATTAAAGCCACACAAGCAAAAAAAGTCAAGGGGTTAACCGGTTTAAAAGATAATAGGTTAGCCATTACTATTATGGGTAGATTTTTTAAAATACGATGTCTTAATAAAAAATAATTTGAAAGTACATAATGTAATAAATAAAAACAAAAGTATAATGCTATAATAAGAAAATTTATGAAAGTATGTTGTTATTTCATACATTTAACCCTCTATTAATTTTGAGAAAATAAGAGAGGTTATAAAGTATTTGACAAAAACTCTTAAAAAAACATTCTTTGTGTATGAAATATTGTTTATTAATGCATATTACTTAAAATTTAAGATTACAAGTAAATTGTGCGTAAGTACAACTTATTAAAGTTCTATTTTTAAATTCGTATAACTAATTGCATATAAACATAATCAAATATAGGATAAACATCTCATTTTAAATATAAAAAATTTAAAATAAAATTAGGATAATTATTGAGTTCTAACATAATCATTATCTTTATAAAAATTATATTGTTAAGTTAAAAATAAATTGCTTTCCTATTAGACCTATATTAAATTATAATAAAAATTTGAATTAAAAAAATCGTATAAAAAGAGAGTTTTTAAATAATTAATTTGACATTATATCGATAACTTTTTCAAAATTTTATGATATCTTCATATTTATTTTTATTCAAAAGTAAAAACATAGTTTTTCTCAAAACCACATAAACTGCATTATATCAACATAGACAAAAAAATAAAACGAAATATTAAAATAAAGATATATATCTCGTTGCATTGCACGAGTACCCTTCTAATTAGTTTTATAAAGTATTTTATCATCTTAACCGGTTATGTGCTTGTGCAATGCAATGAGATGTTAAATTTTATTGTGAATCAAACATCTTGGTTGATGCAATGATTGGATCAACCTCTCATTCTTCAAGAAGTTGAACCAGCGATTGGATATGCAAACCCCATACAAATAAACTGAAGTAGATTCTGACACAGAAAAGTGTCATCTAACCTAAAGGTCTAGATATGTTGGTACCAATCAAGCACGTTGTCAGTTTGGTGCATAGGCAAGAACAAAAATTACATTATGCCATACTAATTTTAAAGCTTTACTTTAAGCTAATTGCTAGTTGTATACTCGCGAATGCAGCGGGATTGAAATATTTGTTGTAAGTAAAAAGAAGTGTGAGTTACAATCGGACTTGGTGAGCATTTTTGTCACTCGTCATTTGTCTAATTGGACTTGGTGTGTATTAATGCATTGCATGGGAAACATGCATCATAATAACAATTCTAACAACATCAAAAATACATAAGGCCTATAGTTAAAATACGTAGCATTGATACGTATCACCAGCACAAGATAGCCCAGATGCTCCGACCAACTAAACAATACTGGTACGATCAATATGAGTGCATAACCCGATCATAAAGATGGAATCTGATAATTATTAATTAGGTTTCAAGTTAGAAAAATATCAGTTTTTCACATGGGAGGGTAAATTGCTCTAAGAATTCATTAGTTTTAGGTCTTTGGGCTTAATCACAACTCAAGAAAATACAAACGATGATCACCATCAACATTTCATGTGCATAAACCCCTTAAAAGAAAATTACAAATGATGATCACCATCAACATTCCAGAGCCCATGCCGATTGTTGTCTCTGAAAATGGGGGTATGTTATCAAAAACCACGTCAACCCTCCCTTTATATGCCTTCCCTACGCTCTGCAAATATTGAATTTTGCCAGAAACATATGAATGGTACTCAATTATCACGCAATAGTGGTGGTAGTAAATTGTTAGATGAAGACAAAATTACTCCAGTTTTTAGTAGAAAGAGAGCTTTGATTAAACTAAACAAAAACACACCATCACAGTGATAGAAGAGTAGAAGAGTACACTGCTTACAAATTGAACTGTGACTGTCTGATTAAACAAAATAAAAACACACCTTTTAAGTGATATGAAGAGCAGAAAACTATACCTCATAAGAGAATACAAGTAGGGCTGTAAACGAACGGGAAGTTCGTTTATTTAATAAATGAACGGGCATGAACAATTTTTTTTTGAACAAGAATCTCGTTCGTTCATTTATGTTCGTGAACGTTCATTCATTTACCGTTCGTTTATGTTCGTTTATATATTAATTTTTTCTTTATTTACTTTGAATCCAAATAATATTTATTTATTTTCGTTTAGCCCGCTCGTTTATGTTTTTTTCGTTTACGTTCGTTTAGCATGTTAACGAACGAATATAAACGAACACGAACGCACCTTATTTCTAAAAGAACGAACATAAAGATTTTCGTTCGTTTACCGTTCGTGTTCGTTCATTTGTTCAGTTAAGTAAAAAATGAACGAATATGAACAAGCTTTCGTTCGTGTTCGTTTGGTTCGTTTATAGCTCTAAATACAAGTGTGCACATAGTAGCAAACAACAGACTAAATTGAGAGGTTTTAATCAAAGGTGGAGTGGCAATCGAGGAGTTTTTTCGGATTTTGATAACACAATGTTTCAAAACCAACATTGAGGATCGGAATCATCACATTAAGCTGCAAAGAAATATAGGGAACATAAAAAGTCGACAATTTAAAAGGTCCGCATGAATAAATTGTACAACATGCTTCGTTACTTGTAATTAAGAGATTTTGATATTTTGTGCTTCAATTAGAAGTACATACAGCTCAAATACTTGTATTTAAAACTTTTAATACTTTGTGCATAAATCTTTAGTACTTTGTACACTGAAAACTGTTTTTAAGACTTTTCTCAAATCTTCTTTATAAGATAGTATAGATATAGATTAAGAAAAATACAGCAACAACTCGAGTGGAGGAAGGAAAATTAAAGTCATAAAAGATATATATAAATAATTATATATATATATATATATATATATATATATATATAGACTTGCTTTCACGTAAGACCAACCTGTTTTCGTGAGACCACTTTTTTACACTTGAAATTTCCCAACAAAACGTTATGA